CACTGTAATGTCACTTCTATTCTTCTCTTTAACTCACACCCAAATGTTCTCCAGCTGATTTCACTCCTAACAAATGGTGAAGGTCCTAGAAACTAGGTTATCCTGTCCTGTCTTCCTGAACTAGAATTTCTTTTGAGGTTCAAAAACACCAATATTTTATTCCAGGGGGAACTCTGACATCATGTCTTGGGCAGCTCTGGGGGCCCAGCTTGAACCACCTTTAGACATAGCAATAGCTGGGATTAGGAAACCAACCAATTCTACCATCTTCCTATCCATGTTGCTTTGGTCATCACCACAAACCTAAGTCCCTTCCAAGACTGTCTATTCCATACTCTCAATTTCTCCCAACATCCCCTAGAACAACCTCACAACAGTGTACCTACAGAGGGAGAAAGGACATATATTCTTTGATATAATGATTTGTTACAAAAAAAATTTCCAAAATACATGTGCATGATCATGAGTTATTGCTGGTCAGTTCAAACACAGGGAAGAGATTTCTTGGTCACTGTGGACAGTAATTTGATACCAATGAAATGTCAAAATATCAGTCAAAGTATTGAAAGGAAACAAAAACTATTATGCTATCCTATTTTAAAATATTTCAATATCTCTCATTAAAAGTTGCTCCTCTGGGTTGAGGAAAGAAAAAGGATGTAACAGTATGCTTATGTGTGAATACAAATGTTACATGCTTATAAGTATGTCTAGAAAGTTTATTTTCTCCAACAACACTAAAAAATCTCTTATTGTCTAGCTCTCTACCTTACCCATTAAGGCCTGCACACATGAAGTTCATGTCAGAAAGCAGATGGACTCTGTTTTTTTGCCTATGAAAATATTATTTACAGTTGTTGTATATTTCACACAGTGACCTCATATCTGGAACCCATTCATTTCCCCATCTGCAGAGAACAACTGTTCTCATCTGTCGGGGGGAGGCTCTGGCTAGAGTCTATTGATGTCACAGGCCAGGAGGAATCACTTAAAAATGCCTGGAAATGAGAGTTGTTATACTTATCAGGTTTTTGGTGTTTTATTTTACTATCAGCAAAGAGTTACTGCAAAAGTAAAAATTAATAGGAGGGAGCAAAAATGAATACAATTGCAGAATATTTCCCTCACATTATCTGTGTAAATCCTATAACCAAAATTGTAAGCAATTTTTCTTTCAAGTTATAACAACCAAGATTCCCCTCACTCTTCTTCAAAGACAATAAGTACCTTGATCCTTTGTTCAGCCAGTAAGTAAATGTTTATTCAATATAAACTTATTAAGCATCAATCAAATGCCAGCTAGGTGGGAATAAGACATGATGATCCTGCACACAAGGAAGTAAACAATCTATATGAGGAAACATAAAATGTCAAGAAATGGTAATAGGATTAAAATAAAGGGTAAACCAAGAAGTCAGCTTCAGGAAAGTAGTAAAGGCTGATTCTGTGGAGATTGTAAGTCAGGCCTCTCAGAGGGGGTGATATTTAAATAGAGACTTAAAGGTCAAGCAAAATGACATCAAGATAGTGGGAGAAGGTGTTTCAAGCACCAGGAACAGCATGTACAGAGAAACAGAGGAGTCAAAGAGCAGAGTCTTTACAGGAAAAGTTTGAAGATCAGGGTGAATGGAGCAGAACGCAACTGGAGGAAAGTGCAGGGGATGAGAATGGGAAAGGTCCTCGCACAACAGGTCCTCGTATGTGGAACAAGAAAAAGGCCAAGAAACTGTACATAAAATTGAGTTCAGTGTGGGCCAAATGATAAACAGCATGTGAATGGATTAATGAATGGCCAAATGGCCAACTCTCCTAAGAGAGGCCTGTCAAAGAAATCCAAGGGAAGCTTTAAAAATAAAGCCAATAGGACTGCTAAAGTCAGAAAGATCAACTCATCTGTTAACTACAGTTTTCAATTCAAGAGTCTATATTAATCACATGTGCACTTAACCACAGTTAAATACAAAAAGGTGACAAAAAAGGAAGAGAAGACAATGGTATTTATTAATTGGCTGGACCTTCAGCCAAAAACACAAATATAGAAGCTGAGCTCTCAGAATGAGAAAAAATCTAACACAGTCAACATTTTCAAGTGAGCCAGGTAACACATGGCAATATTTCTATACTAATCCAAGAATTATGAAATGAACTTAATTCAAAGAATATGTGGCTCTGCCTGCCTCTCCATCTCACGACCTACTATCTGGCTCCCATTTCATGGCTAAGAAGACCTAAGCTACCCTACTCCATACTGTTTCACAAGTTCATGTTTTTATTAGTGCCACTATTCTTCCCACACATTTAATAGATCCAAACCAGTCCGGCTGGTGTGGCTCAGTAGTTGAGCACCGACCCATGAACCAAGAGGCCCCCAGTTGATTCCCAGCCAGGACACATGCCTGGGTTGCAGGCTCCATCCCCAGTAGGGACAGGCAGAAGGCAGCCAGTCAATGTTTCTCTCTCTCATCTATGTTTCCATCACTCCCTCTTCCTTCCTCTCTCTCTAAAAATCAATAGACATATTTTTAAAAAATAAAAATAAAAAATAGATCCAAACTAGTCATCCTTCAATATCCACAGCAGATGTCACCGCCCCGTTTCCCAATTTCCGCCAACCACTCTCCCATACCCTGGGTCACACTTTTATCTGAGTACTTACCATCTATCCCCAAATCATCTGTTCACATGACTGCCTGCCCCCCATTGGGCTGCCAGTTCAAAGTACACAAAGGCAGCCTCACCCACCTTCATTTCAAGAGCACCCATGCGCATGCTCTTAATTATAACTGTGCCTGGCTAACAGTGGATGCTCAATAAACATTTGCTGAGCCAAACCATTATACTAGCTTGTAAAAGTACTTTGTAAACTATAAAGCACTCAACAAATATTGTTCTGCTGATGTTTACTGTTTCCTTTCAACCTTATTCTCCATCACTCAGCTTTCATGTGCTCAAGGCAAACTGAACTATCAATGATTCTTACAGCCAAAACCTATTTTCCACTTTTGTCTGAGTAGCTTACATTTGTCCCTACATTTATAAAGCTCTTTCTCTTATCTTTACTTATTCAAATAGTACCAATCCATGGCCTGGATCAAAAATATTACTTCCAGACAATACCCCGCGCTCTTTCTTTCTAACTTGTCAGGCACGATGGCTCCTGCAAAGAAGGGTGGTGAGAAGAAGAAGGGCCGCTTCGCCCTCAACAAGGTGGTGATCAGGGAGTACACTATCAACATCCACAAGTGCATCCATGGTGTGGGTTTCAAGAAGCATGCCCCTCGGGCACTCAAGGAGATCTGGAAATTTGCCATGAAGGAGATGGGGACTCCAGACATGCGCATGGACACCAGGCTCAACAAAGCTATCTGGGCCAAAGGAATAAGGAATGTCCCATCTCGTATCGGGGTAGATTTGTCCAGAAAATGTAATGAGGATGAAGATTCATCAAACCAGCTGTATACATTGGTCACCTATGTGCTTGTCACCACCTTCAAAACTCTACAGACCATTAATATGGACAAGAACTAATGCTGATGGTTGAATAAAGTTATACAACTACCTTGGAAAAAATATATACATATATATCACTTCCAATAAAACATTCCTGGATAACCTTAACTGGAAGTAACAGCTCCCGTCTCTGAAACCCCAGAGCACTATGCTGTCTCTGTCTTGTGGCACCTATTACATCTAATTGCACTGTAGTTGTAAGAAGTGGGAAGCCCTATGCCTGTTATGTCATCATTTCTTTCAAAGCACACAGCTTAGAAAAATAAACACTTTACTGATTCCACATATTCAAGGAATAGTCGTCTAGTATGATTTAAGCACCTGGATAAGTGTTCCTCTCTTCAAGCCTTCTGAAACATCCTCCTTAGACATGTAATTTTCAAAGATGCTCTTTTTCTTCCCTCGTATGGACTTGTTCTTTGACTTTTTGTCACTTGGCGAAGCACCAACACCATGTGGGCCAACCACGGAGGACACACCTAGAAACATGAGGCAGTAATCAACTCTTTCCTCAATCAAACATCACTGTATTTTTAAAACTAGAGATATTTTACCTTTTTTTAAATTTAGAATGACCAACATGAAAATGAAACTCCCTGCCCAGGCAGCGTGGCTCAGTGGTTGAGCATCAACCTATGAACCAAGAGGTTACGGTTCAATTACGGCATGTGTTACCGGCTTGATCCCCAGTGTGGGGCATTCAGGAGGCAGCCGATCAATGATCATCTCTCATCATTGATGTTTCTATCTCTCTCTCCCTCTCCCTTCTTCTCTGAAATCAATAAAAATATATTTTTCAAAAATATTTAAATAAATTTTTAAAAAGAAAATGTAATTCCCTGATAAAGATTTCAAATAGCCACAAGAAGGAAAGAATAGGTAAGAAAACATGAATAAAATATATACAGATGAGACGAGTTTTACAACAATACCACATATGCATGGAATATAATCTGAATAATGGGTTCAATATGCTTTCTGTTTATAGACACAAACTTTTTAAAAATAGGAATTACTAAAAGATCACCATTTTTCAAGAGGAAATTAAATAGCTGTGCTCAATATATCAACAATTTAAGACAACAAGAAATCACACTTAATTCTAGAACAAATAATGCAGGAGCATATTTAACAAGTCATCAAAAGAATTATAGGCCTCCTCAATCCTAAAACCCGCCCTGCACCTCCATTCCATTTGTATTTCAGATCTCTACTTGCTAGAGTAGACTCCATTTTCCTTTTGCTACCTCTGAGGGTCCCCAGGTTCAGCCTGCAGTCAGGATGACTCATTACTGGTTCCAAGGTTGCCTCTTCTCTCCAGATCCAGAGGGGCCTCCACTGCTCAGGCTCAGAGTTCTTCCTGCTTTGAGCAGCTCAGCTGTTACAAGCTGAAACCAAAGAGAAATGGGTGACTGAAGAGCAATTAACCTGTAGCCTCCTCTGTGCTCTTGGAAATTTAGTACTTGGATGGCAAAGGCAGTGTGGTGCGCTTCCTGGGTCCTGGCGTCACTTTGTCCTGGGCAGTTAATCAAGCACACCATCTGTCCTGAGTTTCTTTTCAAGGCCTTCACCTCCACAGTTATCACTAGCTTGCTTATTTGGACCACTTCAACTAAGAACTTCCACAAATGGAACAATGAGGTAGAAGTTAAGGAGTTGTGCAGTTCTATTTAGCTTGTGAAATGCACAAGAGCAGGAGGGAAGACAGTTTTGAAAAAGTAAACTTAGTCAAGAGATGTAGCATTGACTAAGTTTAACCTTGGACAAAATGACGTTCCTCTATGAAACCAAGTAATCTATTCCTTAGAATTCATCAACAAAATCTAATTCACTGCCGCAAAACTATGCAGGGAACCCTAGATGGTTCACTAGCTTTCAAAAAAAATAGAAATATTGTAGTTAAGCATCTATTTCCCTATTCTGATCTGCCATCACTTCAAACCAGTCATCTGACCAGAAGCTCGGCCAGCTGCTTCTAAGGAATAGAAATCAGCTGCCTGGATCGGCGCACTGGAATATGGGACCCTGCAGCTGGCCCCATGACCTTCCACCTGGATACTGAACATGTCATCACAATGTCTACTTTCTATTCTCTGCTGGCCACCAGCCCAGGATTTAAGCCTATACTTGCAAATTTCCAAAATCCAGGTAAAGCAGCCTTTATGCTTTCCCATAAAATGGATCAAGATGTCATTCTAAACACTAGCTTCCATTTCCTCTAAATTTCCCACTAACATCCTTTATCAAAATGATGGAATTTTTCTTTAAAATGAAATTAATATAACTCAGGAGAAGAGAAGCAACAGAGACAAAAGGTAATAGGCCATTTAGTCATACATGAAGAGATACAGAGATAATGTCAAAAAGTGCAAAAAGGGAGAGAAATAGCTTGTCTTAGATAAAAAATTTTCAAGCTGAAACCATCTCATCTCATGGTACACATAAACTAATTATTAAAATTCTGTGGCACACCAAAAAATACATTTTTTCCTATATGACAAAAATAGGTATAATTTTGATTCATTCACACCAGACAGCTATTGTTATATTGGCTATTGTCATTTTTTTATTTGATAATTTAAGGGAAAAGGAGTCAGTGCCCCTGACTAAATAGACAGGTATTGCAATAGTCAGGTTTTAAAAATTCTTGTGGCACACCAGTGTGACGCAGCACACTGGTTGAAAATCTCTGTCTTAGATAAACAACAAAGTAGTGGGAAAGGCACATACAGGATTCCAGACTGTCTAATGGTCTAATTCAGAAATGCATTCATCCAGTCATTCATTCAACAAACACTTCTGCAAGGTACTGTACTAGGAACAATAATGGATACAAACATTAATTTATAAAAATCATATTGAACTAACAATACAAGTTGGGAAGTGATAGCATTAAATTTTTTTTAAATATGGCTAAATGTACTTATGATGAGAGAGAAAGGATATCTGCAGGACAGTAAATCAAAGAGAGCTTCAGAAAATTTTTAAGGAATAACTGAGAATGTGAGAAAATCATACTGCTGGCAAAGGAAACAGGGGTGGGGAGAGAAAGAGAGAGGGAGGAATACAGGCAGGTTCTTGCAACATTAATTCCGTTTGGATAGAGTCCAGTCTATATGAAGGAAAGCAGTGGTAAGGAAATTAAAACAAGTTGGAAGGTCTAGAAAACCAGCCCAGTTTTTCAGAAGTAGTAGGGACTTTCTGAAGCATGAGTGAGCAGGAGAGAAGACAGATCAGAGTTGTATTTCAGGAAAAATTAACCTGTGCCGGATTCATCTGCAGTTGAGAAAAACTGGCAGCAGCTGTACCTTAGGAAAGAACTAGAACAGAATGGGGAAAAGGAATGCCTGAACTAGAGTTGTACAGGCAGACACTGAAATGAAGAGACTTTTAACATGATGTCACACAGAACAAAGTGGCATCATTTGGCAACCAGGCAGATCTGAATGAGAGCAAGGAAGTGGCACCTATGTGAAATTTCAAACAAGGAAACTGAGGAATGATAACATCACTAAGATAGAGAAGACGATGAATTCTACTTGGGGTATTACATAGCTCCATATGGAAATGCATACTCTATACATGGAAATATATACCTTTACCTATACCTCTACACCAAATACTTAGAAACTAGAGCATAGTTTAGAGAAATGAATTACCCAGCCATTTGCATAAAGATGGTACTCCAAAGTTTTCTAAAATAGATGAAATTGCTAAGAAAGGGTAAACTATACAGAAGAGGGGCTAGGACAAAATCTGGGTTAGAGCAACTTTTAGGAAATGGAAAGAAGAAAAAGTAAAAAATATAACAAAGAAGTTAATAAAGATATACAGGCAGACACTGAAATGAAATAAAGAACTAACAAAATCAGATGTTACCAAAAAAAAAAAAAAAAAGGAAGAAAATAACTTCCAAAGAAAGACAGGCTCATGTTTCACATAATCAAAAAAATCAACATAAAATAAAATAAAAATGGAGGAAATAGCTTAAAATGCAAGCAAATAAAAACAAACAATCCTAATATATTTAAAATGAAAAACACAACATACTAAAGAGATGGGGAGAGAACTAACCCAAATAACTTTTGAACAGTTAAAAACAAAAAAGAAATAAAAATTAAACTCAAATTAATCGTTTTTTAAAGAGGTATGGCTTAGCAATTCTAAAACTACTTTCTGGATATTCTAAGAGTAAACAAATAAGTAAATATACTGTGGATAGTAGGAGTCGGACTTGTGAATGTGAGAAAGAAATTACAAATATAGAAAGTGTAAAAACTAGAATAAAGGCCTGTGGTTTTGAAATGAAGTTGGAGATATCATTGCCAGGGCTGACCAGCAGCCCCTGAACGATGGATGACCGGATTACTCAGACACAGTTTGACTGTGAATGAAGGGCTAAGGGGCTTGCCACAACACCTGGGCCTAATTTCTCTTTAAATTCCTGCCTACTTGTTCCCAGAGATCAAGGTCTAATGTTCCAGCATCAGGGAACCAAGGATTATCTATAATAATAAAAGCGTTATATGCTAATTAGACCAGACAGCTGAACGACCTTCTGGACGTCATTTCCGATGTCCTCTAATTAGACCAGACAGCTGAACGACCTTCTGGACGTCATTTCCGATGTCCTTCCGGATCAGTTAGTGGTGATCAGGCAGGGAGGCGAGCAGTTAGGGGCGATCAGGCAGGCAGGCAATCAGTTAGGGGCGATCAGGCAGGCAGGCAAGCGGTTAGGAGCCAGCGATCCCAGATTGCAAGAGGGATGTCCGACTGCCAGTTTAGGCCTAAATTAGTAGTCGGACATCCCCCAAGGGGTCCTGGGTTGCGAGAGGGTGCAGGCCAGGCTGAGGGACTCTCCTCCCCTCCTCCATGCACAAATTTTGTGCACCAGGCCACTAGTAAGTTATAATAGTCTGCAAAAGGCCCTTTAATTGTTTCTTGGTAACCGAGGCACCATTCGCCTTTAACAACTGCTTAAGGACTGTGGACGGAAGGGGTCACATGCTGACCTGACAAGCTCAGGGGAGGCCTGCATGGCAGTCTTGCAAACTCAGAAACCTAAATTAACTACAAAGGATGGTCTGAAATTAAACTTTAACTAAAAGCAGTTATGGTGGGCAGTTATGTCCTAGGCTGGTATCTTCACTGACAAGGTCAACCTTTACCTTAACTGAGCCTATCTGTCTTTTTGCATCTCTGACAACATACCCTTGAAGTGTCTGGGTAACTCGTAACTTCCCGTTTTCTGGACCCCCTGAGGCACAACCAAATGTGCTGGGCGCCAGGACAGATACCACAAATTCCTTCATGATCATGTTAATTGTTCCTGCACCCACCTATGTATGTGTCTATCATTTTACTTTTTATCCAATCCCAGGGGTTTCCCTGCTTTGCTTTATCCCACCTCCTTAATCTATCACAATGAATTTCATGTAACCCACCTACATCCCTCCTTTGATTGCAATGTATAAATACAGGTGTAACCTGCCATTCTCCAGAGCATTATCTCAATTTGTTGAAGTTCTGCTTCCCAGCATATGTTGACAGACAGTCTGGCTCAAATAAACTCACAAAAATTCTTTACAGGCTTCAATGGTTTTTTTACATTAACAGCACTATTATATATTGTTGTTGTTCTACGGATAACTTCTGTCCCATTGTGAAACCTGAGCTGAAAAACAATTCCCTCGAACTTGGAAATCCTAAGGGAACCAAGAATTATAAATTATAACGATTTGTAACAGGCTCCTTAATTGTTCTTGTATAACTGAGGCACCATTAGCTTTTAATACTTTTTAAGTAACAGAGACATGTTACTCGGTGGATAGTTGCTGTCCTATTGTGAATCCTTAGCTGAAAAACAATTCCCTCGAACTTGGAAATCCCAAGCAGGCTCCAATGACTTACTGCGCAGTTACTTTTGTTTCCTTCCTCTTCGTTTTCGAGGGTTCCGCCACGTCTACTTGCGTTCCTTGGTCCTCACACGGGCACCACCTTGCCGAGGCTGACCAGCAGCCCCTGAATGACGGATGAACAGATTACTCAAACACAGTTTGACTGTGAAAGAGAGGGCTAAGGGGCTTGCCCAGCTCTAGTGGCCAGAGCAGCCTCTAGTGCCTGCCTTATTAGGCCTTTATTGGAATTTTTTATCTTTAGCTACAATCAATAGGGTGAGTAATCTTGGGAGGACACATGTTTACATTGTCCTCTAGGCAAGGGCATCCAGGGATTAAGCATAAGGATTCCAGTAAACACTCGGGGGTCTGCACATACACAGACTTATTTGGAAAGGTCAAGGAATAATTAGGGGCACTGCCTTCGGCACTCCCCTAAGTAGGAATTCTGATAAACAGGGCAGGCGGGAAGAACCAAGATGGTGGCATAAGGTATAAACCTGTATGTGCTGCCCCCCACAACAACATTAAAACTACAACTATAAGACAAAACAGCTATCATCCAGAACCACGGGAAAGCTGGCCGAGTGGAAGTTCTACAACTAGAAGGAAAGAAAAAAGCGCATTGAGACCGGGTAGGAGGTGCAGAGGCACCAAGAACAGAGGTACGGAGGCACGCGAACCGAGCTGCACCAGGGTGTGCAGTTTTTTTCAATCGGAAGGGATACAAGCTCTCAAATGCACTGAGCTCATTTACGGCAAGACTCTGGGGTCCCAGACTCCTATGGGGAGAAACTGGACTGTCTTGCAGCGGGTCGGAAAGCGACGGTGACTTTCTCGCAGAGCTGCTCGCAGGGATCATTGTTGCTGAGGGGGCGCAGGACTCAGGACGCAGAGGCATGGAGACGGCTGACGACAGCCATTGCTGTTTGCTCCGCCCTGGTGATTCTCTGAGACCCCGCCCCACTCAACTTACATCCCCACCCAAGCTGTGCTCAGTGGAGCAAAGGAATCACCTGCGCTTCTGCAGCCTAACCTAACAAACTGCAGCTGGGTCAGAGAGCTCCAAAACTTCCAAACCCCAAACAAAGAGGAGAAATCTGCTGATATCGCTGTAGCTCCTGTTGGGTGATATCGTTGTAGCTCCTGCTGGGTGAACTGACTTGGAGATCCAGGAGCCAGGGTACCCCTGGTCAGATACCAGATTTCAACTCCTCACATCCATAAGGGACACACTCAAGAAGCAGACTCAGTGAGCACGAAAGCCCCACTAGAGCAAGTTCTACCCCATAAGGGTGTCTCCAGCACAGCAGTTCTTCCACTGTAGACACAGCGGGTCCTCGCTGTCAGCCAAAAATGCGGAGACAAAGAAACATGTCACAAATGAAAGAAATGGAGGAAAGCAAACTAATGGAGGACATAGAGTTCAAAACCACAGTTATAAGGTTACTCAAGAACCTTCTACAAACCTCTGAGGAACTTAGTGAGACCTTCGAGGATCTTAATGAGAATGCCAAAAAAATGGAAAAGGACCAGTCAGAAATTAAACATACACTGACTGAAATTAAAAATAATATACAGAGATCCAACAGCAGACTAGAGGATCCCAAGAATCACGTCAAAGATTTGAAATACGAAGAAGCAAAAAACACGCATCCAGAAAAGCAAAACGAAAAAAGAATCCAAAAATATCAAGATAGTGTAAGGAGCCTCTGGGACAACTTCAAGCGTACCAACATCCGAATTATCAGGGTGCCAGAAGAAGAGAGAGAGCAAGATACTGAAAGCCTACTAGAAGAAATCATGACAGAAAACTTCCCCTACCTGATGAAAGAAATAGACTTACAAGTCCAGGAAGCGAAGAGAACCCCAAATAAGAGGAATCCAAAGAGGACCACACCAAGACACATCGTAATTAAAATGCCAAGGGTTAAAGACAAAGAGAGAATCTTAAAAGCAGCAAGAGAAAAACAGTTACCTACAAGGGAGTACCCATACGACTATCAGCTGATTTCTCAACAGAAACCATGCAGGCCAGAAGGGAGTGGCAAGAAATATTCAAAGTGATGAATAGCAAGAACCTACAACCAAGATTACTTTATCCAGCAAAGCTATCATGTAGAATTGAAGGTCAGATAAAGAGCTTCACAGACAAGAAAAAGCTAAAGGAGTTCATCACCACCAAACCAGGATTATATGAAATGCTGAAGAATATTCTTTAAGAAGAGGAAGAAGAAGAAAAAGGTAAAGATAAAAATTATGAACAACAAAGTGACAACAAATAAATATCTATCAACAAGTGAACCTAAAAATTAAGTCAGAATAAACTGGTGAATATAATAGAAGCAGGGGCATAGAAAGGGAGTGGACTGACAATTCTTGGGGGGAAGGAGGTGTAGGGGGTGTGGGAAGAGACTGGACAAAAATCTTACACCTATGGATGAGGACAGTGGCAGGGGGTAAGGGCATGGGGTGGGGTGGGAACCAGGTGGAGGGGAGCTATGGGGGGAAAAAAGAAGAACATCTGTAATAATCTGAACAATAAAGATTTATTAATTAAAAAAAAAAACAGGGCAGGTGGCCTTCCACACACTTCCCTTTTATCAGAATGTCCTCTTTACAACTTTTCAACCAAGACTCTTGTGCTCCCCAACATATCATTATAACTCAATAGTTTATCTATATATATAAAAGTGTAATATGTAAATCGGCCAGACAGCGGTACAACTTGTCGGCTATGATGCGCACTGACCACCAGGGGGCAGACACTCAATGCAGGAGCTGCCCCCAGCCCGCAGGCCCTGATCGCCGGATTGGGGCCTACCTGCCAACCTCTTGGTCCCTCCCCATGGCCAGCAGGCTCTGATCACCCAATGGAGAACAGGGAACCAGGGGTGGGTATTGGCACGTCGACCAGCCCCGATCATCCTGCCAGTTGCCCCACACACAGAGGGCGACTGCGGCTGCGGTGGCAGGGGACAGGGCCAGCTGCTGGCAGCCAGGGAAGATAGACCCTGATCGCAGGCCAGGCCTAGGGACCCTAACTGTGCACCAGGCCTCTAGTAATATATAAAGAGATACAGAGGAAATGTCAAAAAGTGCAAAAAGGGAGAGAAATAGATGGTCCATCCACAGAAATATAGATGTGTCTACACACACACACACACACACACACACACACACATACACACAAATGTATACAAGTATGTATGTATATATTCTTATATTATCTAGCTCTGTCTGCTAAGATGGTCTAGAATAAACAATATCCCAGTAGCAATGAACATATCTAGTACCCAATATCACTTTTTTAAAAAATATTTTTATTGATTTCAGAGAGGAAGGCAGAGGGAGAAAGAGATAGAAAATCAATGATGAGAGAGAACCATTGATCGGCTGCCTCCTACATGCCCCACACTGGGGATCGAGCCCACAACCCAGGCATATGTCTTGACCCGGTAGTGAACCATGAACTCTTGATCCATAGGTCAACGCTCAACCACTAAGCCATACCAGCCAGCCTACCCAGATCTCACTTTTTAAAAATATTTTTAATATGTTTTTATTGATTTTAAAGAGGAAGGAAGAAGAGATAGAAACATCGTCAGGCTGCCTCCTGCAACCCCTCTCCTTCCCCCCTTCCCCCCACCAGGATCAAGCCCACAACCTAGGCATATGCCCTGACCAGGAATCGAACCAGCAACCTTTTGGTTCATGGGACGATACTTAATTCACTAAGCCACACCAGCCAGGCTTGTTCTCACTTTCTAAATACCATTCACTGCAAAAAGGATCCAGGGCTCCTTAGAAATATGGCCAATTCTGAGACTGGCTTGAGGAAAGTACAATATGAGCCTAGAGGGGGGTTGGCAAACTATAGCACACAGGCCAAACAAATCCAGACATTCACCTTTCTTTATAAATAAAGTTTTATTGGAACACAGCCACAGTCATTCATTTACAAATTGTCTATGGCTGCGTTCCTGCTGTGAGGGTGGAGTTAAGTAGTTGCCACAGAGACTATATGGCCCACAAAGCCAAAAATATTTACTATCTGGCCACTTACAGAAAAAAGTTTTCCAAGCCCTGGCCTAAAGTATCTTGTCATTCCAAAAAGTCAGGAAACACTCAAAAAGTGATGGAGACATGACACAAGTTCACAGGAGCCAGTTGAAAAGATTCCCACTGGCCAAATATATAATCATTTAAGGATTAAATATTTTTAATGATGACAGCTTATATGTAAACCATTAAATAAGAACCCATGAGTTCATACTGAAAAAACAAATAAGTAAATGGAAGGGGGAAGTTCTTCCTTACATCAGAATCCCAACTAATAATTGTAGAAAAATTTATGGAATTAGAATATTACCATTGACAATCATCATCATAATTAATTCAGATTCATCAGTGGATGATTAAAACTAATGGGTAAAAGTTTTGAGGAGTAACAGAATATTAAATAGTCTCAAAATAGTCTCTAAGATACTTATTAAATACAAAGAGGAAAAGCATATCTTGACGGTAGAGCAATCTGGCAGACTACCATAACCAAGTGATTAAAGTAGACACCTGTAATGGGACAAGTCAACATCACATGCCTCCTGATACATAATGAAAAACATGTCATTTGTGAAACATGAATTAAACCTGCTACAAAATAACTGCATAGCTCAGCTGGTATGGCTCAGTGGTTGAGTGTCGACACATGAACCAGGAGGTCAGGGCACATGCCTGGGTTGAGGGTTAGATCCCCAGTAGGGGGAGTGCAGGAGGCAGCCAGTAGATGTTTCTCTCTCATCACTGATGTTTCTAGCTCTCTTTCCCTCTCCCATTCTCTCTCTGAAATCAATATTTTTAAAAAAAACAAAAACATATTTACAAACTGGCCTATAATCTTCAAAAATGTTAAAACTGTTCCAGATTAAAGGAGACTAAAGACACATGACAACTCTATGCTACTTGTGATGCAGGATTTTTTTTTAGAGAGAGAGGAAGGAATAGGGAGAGAGAAATAAACATCAATGTGAGAGAGAAACATCGATTGGTTACCTCCCCAAACGTACCCAGGAACCAAACCCGCAACTTGGGCATGTGCCCTAACCGGGAATCAAACCGGCAACC